GCCGTTTGAATTTTATTTTATTTTATTTAATTCATTTTATTTTTTTCAACTTTTTTGATTTATTTTAAATAACTACCTTAGTATTTTTTTGCTCCAATTTTTTCATAAATCACAAAAATATTATCTTTCACATATATGTTTTTTCAGATTTTAAAAATCATTTTTAGCATTTATTGCTATTTTCTTTTTTATTTTTATTTAACAATTAATTTTCAATCATTTTAAAACAATTTTTATTTCAACTTTTGAGATCTGATTACTTGTAATGTTTCTGACTTTCTCTAATTTTTTGGACATTTATTTGATGTTTTGATGCATCTTTTGCATTTTCCATTTAATTTCAATTTTAAAACTTTTTAAAACTATTTTTAAATCTTTTTTTTAATCATTTTAAATTCATTTTGGTTCTGACTTTTTTAGACCTTGATCATATTTGGTTGATTGATACTTCATCTTGTACAATTAATCTTTGAATGATGCCTTGGTTGCATAAACTTTTATCATTTCAAACTTATCATTAAATGATCATTTGATCATATTTGGTACTCTGAATTGAGGATAAGTTTATCTCATTGTATCATGAAGAAGATTGATCGAAAGTGATGATAGACAATCCATTGCCTTTATGCTTGATCATCTCTCCTTCTTCACTTCCTTATTTTTTACTTGTGTTACATTGTTTTAAGAGGATGATTTTTGTATCATCTCTCTAACATGTATGACACATGAATTGTTATTGACTGGCTTCAGATAGATGTGACTTCTACATAAGTCTACTTATGATTTTTTAACATAACACTAAATTGTTTAGACTTGGTTGATTTCTCATTAACACCAATATTGACATATTAATTGTGCTAACATTTACTTTTATGCACTTTTACTTATTACAATTTAAGTTTATGTCATTTACATTGATGTCATTTACATTATTCCACTTTTATTTTTCTTTTTTACTTTATACCTTTTATTTTTTCTTTCTCTTGCTTTATTGCTTCAAAAAGAACAAAAAAATTAATAAAAATGGATAAAATCTTAAAAAACTTTCATCTGATCTTGTGGAATTTGTGTTACTATCCCTTGCTTGAGGAGTATTTTTGGACCTTAGACTTTAGGACTTAGTGATTTCCTTTGCTTGTAGTGATTATTTGATACTTAGTGATTTCCATTAATTGCTCATGATAATTCATCTGCTTGTATGCTTGCTTGTGTTATTTGCTTATCTTGTGGCTTAATCCAAAGGGAAATGAATGATTCATCTTGACCAATGTTAAATGCTTGCTCCATCTTGTGGTTAATTCACTTGCACACACAAAAGCTTTCTCCGGGGCTACCTTACAATGAGACCTTCTATTTCATGTCATTTACTTTATGCTTTAGGATAGTCTCTTCATCTTCTTCCCACTTCTTTAATTTTCTAATCTTCTCCCTATTTTAAAAACTTATTATTTCAAACTTCAAACTCTTTCATAATAAGTCTTGACTTTGTCAAGTGATTTCGAAAATCTCTTTTTCTTAATAAATGCTAAAACACTTAAGCATATTCAAATTATTTTTAAAACTTCTAAAAAAGACAAACCTGATCAAATTTCTTTTTGTGCCTTTGTGCACTTTTCTTTTTAAAACTTTTTTTCAAAGATTGAATATTGGTCTATTCTAATAGTGATGCAAACCACTATACTTCTATAATATGTTGTGAAGTGATTGATATTTTCACTTGAATGTTGAGACATGCTTGTGAGAAAGTCTAAGTAAAAGTTCTCCATATCAAGATGATACAAATGCTCCTTCTTCATAATTGTGGGTAGTAAGTTTATTTTCCACTTGAATATGCTGAAATGTATTTTCAATTAAAATCAAAAAACAAACTTTCGTAGTTTTTACCACGAACTACGAGACTTTGAATACCTTATTTCACTTTGAGGATACGTAGGCACAAAACTCTCGAAGTTTTGGCGAGTACAAACATAACAAAATAATTTTTTTCTCATCACCCCAATCTTTTTGCAAACAACCTGGTTTTATCATAACACGAATTTTCAAGAGGTTCCTATGGAGTACCATAGATGTGAGGGGTGCTAATACCTCCCCCCTTGCATAACCAACCTTGTATCCAGATCTCTTTTGTTATATCCAAATCTCGATATTTTCCCTTTCCTTTGGAAACAATAAAGTTTGATAGCGACTTTTGTCTTTTCGAGTTAAGTTAATCAAAAGCTTAATCTCAATTTTTCCCGTGCGATAGTTTCATCAGGAAAACTGTGAGGGTTTTCCTCCAAGATCAAAGTATTGATTTGGGGGATTTGACAAGGTTTCACAAATATTGGATTAGACCGATTGGAGAGCTTTGAAGAACGAGGGGTTCTTTCAAATGAGTAGCGTGAGACGATGAATTGTTTAGTAATCTTGGGTGACAATAATTCACAATTTTAGATTTGACCGAGTGAAAGCTTTGAAGAATGGTGATTTCTTACAAATGAGTAGAGTGAGACGGTGTATCAAATTGGTATTGTTTGGTGACTTGATCAAACTCAGGTATAGGAAAGAGAAAGTGCTAGGATAAACATTACATAGAGTAGATAGGGTCGGATTGCTATATTTCTCTTGTTAATGATTTTTTGCATAGTGAGAATTTTTATCTCAATTCTAAACAAAATTGGGGACAAATATAGCCATAACAAAGGCGATTGGTGAAATGCCTAAACAAATCTATGTGCTCTCTCTCTCTCTCTCTATCGATTCGTATAGACATATCATTTGATTGTTAAACAATGCTTTGTTGATTACATTATAATCAATTAGATTGTAAGTGGTATTTCATATCAACAAAGTCAAAGAGAAATCCGAAAAACGATTGCTCGCCAAGTGTTTGAGAATTTGTTTGTTTTAGCTTTATTAATAATTTCGTTGGAAATTGGTTAACAATTGTGATCATTATAAAATGATTGGTTGAGAAAGTATTATATTAATTTTTATCATCACTTTACATTTCATTATGTGATTTATGCATATCCAAGTTTATAATAGTCAATTCAGTTTAGATGACTTGTTCGATCTAGGCTTAATATTCTGCTTGTCATAGTTTTTTACTTGCTTCCAAAACAGAACCTTAAAAGGTAATTTTTACTTTGGGGATTTATTCACCCCTCCTATAGATATGTTGTCTTCGTCTAACAAACACCGTGAATACTTAAGCACACTCTCTTAAGGACATCCCTACCTGTCTCACGATCATGAAACTCAAGTCCGTGCTCTCCTCGGATTCAAGAAACAACACAACCTCAACAACACATGTACTCAGGCAATCAATGACATGCTAAACCAACACTCCACACTTGAAACATCTCGGAGAAACAAAACTTCTCTCTCACTTGTTTCAATCTTGCTTCTGATGGAAAGCGGTTAGAAAAACAAACGAGCACCAATAGTGTTTCACACACATATCGTATACTAGAGAATAAATAACATTACAAAAATCTGGTCGGATGAACTGACATAATCTAATACCACTACTCTAATACCATTATTATAACACCTGAAATTTTATTTATATTCAAATTATTTCGTATTACTACGCGTTGGAATTTTAGAATATTACGTATTGTTGGTCTTTTAATATGCTCAATCACTTTTAGCACAATATGAGTATTGCTGCTTCATTTTCTAGCCATCCAACTTGTTGGCATTCACTAGTTTGCATATGTATAAAGTGTTTTATACTCTAGATGGTTAAGCTTGTTGTTGTCTGGTTTCTCTCATTATATTTTTATGATAAAACTCCTTTTGTTTTGGACATCCTAAATTAAGTCAACTTTCAATTTGAAAGGATATTCTCCAGCCATATTAATAAAAAATAAAAAGTTTATTAGATTTATTAAATAAATAATATATTTAATTATTATTTTATATTAGATATATCAATTATTTAATAAATTTTAAATTTTTTTATTACTTATAAATATGTCTGGAGAATGTATAAAATCAATCATTTATCAATATTTATTTGTCCTTCAATATAAAATCTTCATAAACTAAATTATGCTAATTATAAAAGTTGATTAAAGTATTAAATTTATTAATACAATTATACAAGTTTATAAATAATTCATGTTTATACAAGTGTATTTATTATTAATAGTAGAAATAGATAAGATATAATTAGAAATATATTTAAAAAAAATTAATATTATTTAAAAGTTAAAGAAGATCTTTTAAAAAATGACACGAAAAAAATTCAAAAGAATCTTATAATTAAGAATAGAGGTAGTATAAATACACTTACTTAATCTTTTCATTTGTAATATTTAAAGTCATTTAATATTTTCACTTATAATATTTCAAAATTATTTTTATAAAATGAGAAATTACACATAATTATTATTTATGAATTTGAAATTTAAAAGAGAAGAACGTTTAAATAATTTTTTAATCTATGTAAGTTGGTGTATTTTTTATTTTGATCTCTATTTTTTTTTCTCAGAAATAATTTTTAAATGTTAAAATCGATAACAAAATTCAAAAATAAATTCGCAAGAAACTGTAGATCTTCCTATGTGTTTTTGTTTTAGGAACTAAAATTAAATGAAATTCAATATTTCACAATTTTATCTAAAAAAAATACAGAAACGACGATAACTTATGTTAACCAAAATATAAACCTAAGAAGAAATTACACATAAGTCTACTACTTATGAAATTAGTGTTTATTGTTATAAAATAAGACAAATTTGCACATAGTTCTGGTACTAAATTAAAATTTATTCATATAAAATAAGAAGAAATTACATAGTTCTAGTTCTACTACTTATAATCAACAAGCACCCATCATTTTTGCGCACCCCTAATTCAAAAACAACATAGGAGGTGGTGACATAGATTCAACTAACAATGACAAGAAAAAGAAACACAAAATCAGCAAAATTACCTTGGCCGATTATTTTATTTACATAATATTAATTAAAACTAATAGAACATACGTGTTAGAAAAGAAGAGAACAACTTCACCGGAGGCGTAGAAGACGCCGGAGATTATTTGTTGCTCCGTCGTCAACAAAACCACCCGCCGCAGCGGCAGCAGCTTCTGTGTTGCAACTGAGTTTCGATCTCATAGAAAACTTGGGCAACGGCAAGCTACTTGGCGGTGGAGCGAGATTGAAAACGGACTCTGAAAAAACGTCCATGTTTCCAATTCCAATAACAACCGGTAGATTTTTGGGAAGATCTTTCGGGTCGGGTCCCCATGGATTAACCATAAGAATCTCCGGTACAGTTCCCGATCTCTTTTTTGGTTTTGATTTCTTAGGTGACGGAGACAAAGTTTGAGTGTTAAGGCGTCGTGGAAGCAAAGGTTTGTGATGAAGAATTGTAGAAACATGTGGAAGAGGTAACAGTGGTGGTTGTTGCTGTTGAGGAAGATTCAAAAGACCTGCATAGGTGTTAGAAATGAAACTACTATTAGTACTACCTCGTTTGTTTTTCCTTGGAGTTTTGATTTTCATTTGCATGTTTGTTGTAGCAATGGATTGTTCCTTTGCTTTTGGACTCAAAATAGTTTCCATTGAGAACGAGATTGAAGAAGAAAAAAAAGTAAGCAAAGTTAAAACAGGCTATTATTGGTGGTGGTGATCAAATAAACAGATCAGTGGCCTGGTAATTAGTTTATACAAATATTAGTTAATTTAAGAGAGAAAAAACATAAATATATAACACTATGATATGAAGAAATATGTATAATAGTTAGATATGAAACTATAAAAAAGAAAAGAAAAGCTGGTACGATAAGAATTAGATGAGAGGGGAAGAAGAGTTAGAAGTTAGAACGTGAAGGGACCTGCTTTTAAAAGAGACGGGTCTTTCCTTTTTCTTTAAGCATGCCACTATTGCACACATCTTTTAAAAGATACTAGTACTACTCAACGGCTTTTTGTTTTATTTCTAAAAAATATATTACTTATTAAACTTTTATTTTACTCATTTCACAATTAATTTCATTTAAATAAAATACACACTTTCATATAATAAACTGTCACATTCTTTCATTTTAAAAAGTAAAATTGATCATCTTAAAAGTTCTACTTATTAATCTAGAATACATTAATCTAGAATATGATAATATAAATTTTCGAACTCTTCGTAAAATATATGTCGTTTTTAGACTCTTTGTATTTTTTAAAAATTATTAATTTATAAATATTAATTATTTATTTACATTAATACATTAATATAACTAAGTATTTCCATAAAATAAAAATATTAAATTTTAAATCAATAATTTACTTTTATTCACTTTAACTTCTAAAATTAATGTATATTAAAATTAATCCTTATAATATATATTTATATTAAAATTAATAATTTTAATATTAATATTTAAATCATTAAAATAAAATACTTTACATATAGCAAATATTATTTCTAATATAAATTAATTTTATTGAAATTATTATAAAAAGTAATAATATACATAAAAAATCAAAATATTAGACGACTATCAAAATTAAAACTACACTACTCCAGTTTAATTTATAAGTAAAAAAAAAAACTACGCTTATTAAAAAAAATAATTGAGTGTATTTATTTTTATTGATTTCATGTGAAAAAGATAATATAATTATTAGTATATTCTCAATTAAATTGTCATCCACTAATAATATTAACTAGATAAATTTTTTGACTATCCTTAATAAATTTAGGGATAATTTACTTGTATCAATCAAAATTTGTCATATAAAGTAAAAAATTTAAAGTCACATATTAATCTAAAATCTTAAAGAATCAAATGAAATCAAAAAAATAATATATATTTATTTTTTGAGCAGTAAAATATTAGTATGTCAAATTTGTATAATAATTCTTATATTGAATAGAAAAAATAATATTGAATTTTTTTAAAATAAGAAAAGACATAAATCATTTTAAAATATTGAATTAATGTGATTTTAAAAATTAATTTTATATAATAAAATTCCATTGATATCATTGAGAGTAAATTATTTCAATTTTACAAGGTAACATAGGCCTCATCTATTAAATAATTAATATGGTGATAATTTTATAATATAAATATTAAATATATTTAGATTTGTGAATATTTATTTATATTTATGACCAAAAAATTTAAAAAAAAATTGTATCATGTAAAGTTGATTTAATAAAAAGTGTTTTCTTTTCAACACCATTATTACTACTTCTAATCTATTTAGCTCGTGATAAAAAAGAGTTAAAGAACAGATGAATAATGAGTCGATTAATTTAACAATATGATTTTCTCATGTCAATATTTCTCTTAAATTACCGACAACCGGTGCAGTCGGCGACCTTTCTTATAGGTATCAATAGTTGAACCCCGAGGAACGCTGTAGGGCGGCAACCGCCATATTGTTGAGAGCCGTTGGATTTGGTTTATTAAAATAGCCGTTGAGGACAAAATGACCGTTGATGGATTCATCGAGTTCCTCGAAAATGTGTGTGTCAGAAAGTTGGCAAAAATATATCGTAGCCAAACACGTCGTTGTTGAAGTGGGGTCAATATTTTATTTTTTGGTTTATTGCCGCGTGACCTCATGTACAGGGAATAACTTAGGGCTTCCTGTTTATTCGACCAATGGGTTTAGTTTGTTTGTGTGTTGAAGTTGGAAGTTTATGTGTTTTGTTTCGACCAATTAGATGAGCCAGCTTATTGGTTAAGTTTTACTACTAGCTTGGGTTTGTTATTCTTTATTTAAACGTGGGGAAAACTAAGGAAGAAAAGGTTGAGTAAAACAAATTAACTCGTGTTGCTCTAGGTGAAGCCAATTTTTATTTCCCTTAAGCAGCCCTTTGGATTAGGGCATAGCATAACAATTAAGACATTTTTACACTCTCGTTGCTTTTAAGTAGAACCGGCCGGATTAACCGGACCGACAGAAAATCTACTAAAAAATTTAAATATAAATAAAAAAATTAGAGTCTATTTATTATCTGGACTTTTAAGTTTGATCCGTTAAAAATCAGATATTAACCGGACTAATTCAATCGAATTGTAGATAGTCTATTTATTTAACTTTTTTCTATTTCTTATAAAAACTATAATATATTATATAACTAATGTCTATATTATTTTTTAATAAAAAATAAAAATATCTATTTTATAATATATTTTATTATTATCCATTTTAATAATAAAAAACTATAATATATTATACAATTAATATTTATTTTATAATATATTATACTATTAATATTTTAACTTGAATCTTAATTATTTAATTAAAATAATTTATTTAATAATATTTTATCTTAGATGTTATGAACGTAATTGATTTATACTTTTTAGTGATCAATAGTCATATATATATATATATATATATATATATATATATATATATATATATATATATATATATATATATATATATATATATATATATATATATATATATATATATATATATATATATATATATATTATATATATATATATATTATAGTTTTTTAGTTTATAATCTATTAATTAACTACTTTATTTAAAAAAAATATTTTTTTAATAAAAAATTAATATTAGATATTATCTGGGCGATCAAAGACTCGAACTCGTCATAGGTCGGCCTGAAACGGGTCGAGTAATCCATTTTGCCAGCTCTACTTTTAAGTGTCACATTTTAGAAAGTAATGTATTTTTTTAAAGTGTAATTTCAAAGTTTAAAGTATTCCTAGTTCAAAGTATTATTGATTGTAATTTGAGAACTTCTCTTTACATCTAGTAATGGTGAAAATCACCATTGAGACCCGAAAATACCCTTCAGATATGTACTTTCGAGCGCATCTATCAACATATTTCAGAAGTACATCTCCGAAGACACCCTTTTTCCACGTTTTATAACATAAACGTTGGATTTAAATTTTTTGAGGTAGTTTCGGAGTTGCACATGAGAAACATGCTAATAGGTTATTTCGGATGTGCATCTTCGAAACTATCCTTTCCATATTAAAATCCTGCATGGTCACCTATTCCAACTATTTTATTCATTTTCCATTCCTCCATAAACAAAATCCTTATAAACCTTAAATCATTTTCAATGGATTTTTTGTCTCCAAGTCAAGTTTCAAGTGTTTGAGCATAACAAAGAGAGCATAAAAGTTGCAATTTGAGGTAAACTTATGTTATTTCATTATACATTTCCTGCATTGAGGTTGATTTGTTGAAGATGAAAACAACGTCGCTTCTGATATACACTTCTGAATTCAACCTACCATAATTCGGAAGTGTATTTCCGAAAAAGTGCCGGTTTCAAAACCAGAATTCTGTTTTAACAGAATTCATATTTTTTTAACATGTTAGGTATGGTGCACCCCGATAATATTGTCAAAGCTCTCGTAAAGGTTCCAGACAAGGTCAATGAAGATGATAAGCCGATTGAGGTGAAGGACGTTAATAAAACGAAGCATGTTGTGATCAATTATGCACAACAATTTCAAACCGATAAAAGTTTCACTACTTGTCAACATATGATTGAATGGATTCGAATGGAAGCTAGCAAACTTGGGTTCGACGTTATGATTGAAAGGTCCGACAATGGGACTAGTAAAAGGCAACCATTTATTGTTATGACATGCAAGCGAAGTGGGAAATATGTTCAAAAAATTCAGAAGATAAAACATGATGACACGGGATCGAGGAAATGTGAGTGTCCGTTTAAATTGCGCGGTTATTTTAGGGTGGATGATTTATGGCGGTATAATGTCATGTATGATATGCATAATCATACGTTAGACACTAAGCTACACGAACATCCAATTGTATGTAGGCTTAAGACGGTAGAGAAGGAATTTATTTCTGAATTATCATTGATCAAAGTTACATTGAGAAACATAGTTGCCGGTTTGAAATGAATAAACCGGATTGTGTCTCAAATATCAAGTCAGTTTACAATCATCGTTATAAACAACACATTGCACAAAGAGGTCCGAGATCCGAAAGGCAACATTTATTGAAATGTTTGGACGATAACCACTATAATTCTAGGTACATAGTTTATGAGGACAACATTAGTATTCGTGACATTGTTTGGACTCATCCAGAAAGTATCAAGTTGTTTAACACATTTCCAACCGTCTTTATGATTGATTCAACATACAAGACCAACAAGTATATGCTCCGGCTTCTAGAAACTGTCGGTGTTACATCTACGGACAAGACATTTTCAGTTGGATTTGGTTTTTTTGGAATATAAGAAAGAAGACAACGTCACTTGGGCGTTGGGTATATGCAAGACTTTGTTGAAGGATCCATAAAATATGCCTAAGGTCATTGTTACCGAGCGAGATAACGCACTTATGAATGCGGTTGACACCGTGTTTCCTTCGTCAACCACATTACTTTGTCGGTTTCATATAACAAAAAATGTGAGAGCACGGCTAAAACCTGCAGTTGGCACCAAAGAAAAAAAGGGTGAAGGCGGAAACATAGTCAAATTCGGTGTTGTGGTTGAGAAGATAATGGGTGCATGGACTGATATTCTTAATTCTACTACCGAAGAGTTGTATATTGAGAATGTGGTACACTTTATAAACTTGTGTG